CAAAGCTAATGCTGTGGGGCAGCTGCTCCTTCGCCGTAGGGGAATTGCACAGCAGGCCTGCCTCCACACCAGGGGAATCCGACCGAAGGGCGAGGCTCGGCGAGAGGCCTCTTCCCCTTCGGAAGGCGAGAGGGAGCCGCTGGCAGTGGTTTAAAAGGAGCGTGGAGGTGCCAGCAGCAGGGCGGCAGTAGCTGAGGGGACGGTGCCAGCAGCAGCGAGCCGAAAATCGCTGGGTGCGATTCATGACAGTCGCAAGAGGCGGCGTAAAGAACCCCGTCCCACCGCTTCGCCCCTTGCATAAGCAAATACTATTAAGTTAGCTGTTGGACGATGTTGAAATGGAATTGAACTTTCAGGCATTAAACGGGATTAACACGAGGAAGATTTTTGTGCTCGGCTGTGTCCTGTCGCTGTACGCCGACTTCATTAGGAGGGCAGTGACGGGGGCGAGGACATGAAAAAGCAGCCTGGGAATCATTAACAAAAATAACAAAACCTCAGCGGTGCTTATTGAGTCAACACCGCTGATTTGGGGAGGGGAGAGGAACCTTGCTACCTTGCTAATTTGCTGTAGAACAAATTAACCCGATACGGTATTTCTCATTATTCTTAGCCTCACTTTGCAGCTCTTAAGCCATTTTCTGTTGTCACTCCTCTTAATAAAAATCTGTGACTTGAATGAATTTCCCCAGCAACTTTGTATTGGCACTGCATCTGTGGTATCAGCTAAAGACTGTCCTTTATCTGTTCCTTACAAAATGTACCCTGATTGAAGTTTCCCTCGTTCCTTCCTGATTGTAGTGCTTCTCCTCCTGGAATTTGGTATCGAATAAGACAGCTTAGCGTTAACATTTTGTTTGTATTGATGGGCAATCAGTTGTTTTTCTGATAATGCTAAAGAAGACAGAAGACAGCGGCACTAGCAAATGCAAATGAAATATGATCATCTTATCTTATAATTACTTGCGTAAACAAGCGCTGAAAAAAAAATTAATACCGCGACAAACATTTCCTTGAAAAGTCGAACTATGTTTTGCTTAAAAAAAAAAAAAAAACGACAAAAAACAAACCCTTACAAACACCCTAAAGCAAAACTCATGCTGCACAAGCCGATGACCTCGGTGAAGGAGCGTACCTGGTCCTTGCTAGACAAAAGCACGCCTTTTTAAGAACAAGATGGGCACGGCAAATGTCCGATTTGGAGCAGGGATGAGCCCCTTTCTCAGCGTAACCCACTCTCCTGGGAAGCGACCGCCAGCTCCATCGGCTTCCCCAGCAGCAGCAGTTCTCCGCTCCCCACGCTCTCCTCAGTCTAGCCACCGCTTCTCTCTGCAGGGTCTTGGAGTCAGGGCTGCGTGCCCACACAGACTCCATTTCGGCTCACCAGATGCACTCCTCCGGCATTTTCTTTTTTTTTTTCCCAGCCCCTATGTGCTAACTTGTTTTTGTGAGCAGACGTGCAGGGGCATGAGCCGAAGTTTCTCCTCACAACTGCGTGCATGTGACGCGCGAAAAAAAAAAAGAACGTAGCGCCAAGCGGTAAATAGGGGAAGACTTTTTGTTACGGTATTTTCCATAGATGACTGGCATGCTGATTTAAATCTGTTTAGGCTGTATTGATTACAGTCCCCCTGTCCATCACCATCATCTGTCATCATCCTTGGGCTGCCAGTATGACAGCTGTGAAGGAGCAGCATAAAGTTGACTGGCAGGATGTTTTGCATCTAATGAGTCTGTGCACAATAAGAGTATAATAAATAATGCTCTGGAGGAACTTGGCTATCACTTAAACACCAAAAAAAGAGATATTGCCTTAGCAGAAGCTCCTAAAGCCATCCGTCATCTGTCAGGAGTTGCATGGCTGTGGCTGAGCTGGACTGAGGGAATGGAAAGCGCCATAGACTGGTGATGGGCGCCGTGTGTCACGCGAGGAGATATCAAGTGGGCTGACATCGAGAACCAGGAATCGCTCAGGAAGAGCTTAAAACGACAAAGGCACCGCAGCTTCGGTGCAGCGTCACTTAGCGGCGCAGGCTGCTAGAGGGACTTTTTCCAGATGAACCTTGGTTTGATGGTCACTGAAAAATCAGCCAGCGATGGTCTGCCTGTGGTGTGACGTAGTGGTGAGCTTACATTTCGCAGATGGCTAGGACCGTCAGGAATGAATTACCACGGCCTAGGGACGATCAGAAAAAAGCAGTGAGGAGCGACGACCCAGGCGCCAGCCCTGACTCAGACATCAGTTCTGACGCTGGGCGACGCCAAGCCCGCAGTGCACAGAGGAAAATAAGCCTCCAGCATGCTGCTAGGAGAAGACTACCAAGAAGCCCCTAAATCTACCTGGTGGTCCACCAAAAGCAGCAGCATGGCAGGGTGCCAGCCCTTCTAGTCACATCGCCGTCACATCGCCGTCACATCGCAGAACTTGAGCGTCACAATTTGCAGGACAGTCCTGCGATTTCTCCGCCCCTCCGAGGCTTTGGTACCCGAGTGTTGACTGGGGTTGGCCACAGCGGTGAAGAGCTGGGAGCTGTGCCACCCTCTCCAGCAGCCTGGCACGGCCTGCGCCATCGCCTGGCATGTGGGAATTGCTGCTTTGGGAAGCAGGAGACCTCCTGCGCTCCCCACGGGCTGCCTTCTCCTCACCGTGCACCTCCCGTCCCTTGACCAACCTGCCCGTCGCACAGCACAGGGGCTTCTCTGTGGGGCAGTGCTCCTGCAGGACGTAGCTCGCATGGTAAAAATCGGGAAGGGCAGAGGGATCTTTGCTGTTTTTCTGGCCGAGGCTGTATCTAGCCAGCCTCTGAAGGGAGGGATCACAGGTGCCTTAATCCAAAATAGCCTGTGGTGGAACAGGCACGGAAACCCCGGCACAGTGGGGGAGGACATTAAAGCCCTCAGTGAAGTCCAGCTTTAGTCCTTTAGTCGAGTCCAGCTGTCTCACAGGGCATCAGCCCTGGTCATACGCTCACCCAGCTCCGTCCTTGCGCAGCTGATTTTCCAAGCGTTGGAACATTCAGCGCTGCACCGTTGCCAACGTCAGAATGAAAACCATGAGACTAAGCAAGCCAGCAGACACACTTCTCATTTCCAAGCCTTCTGCGAGCCTTTATTCCATATTCTTGAGCTTGCCTCGGACTACACGCTCTTTTTATTAAATTAAATATTGTTACCATTTAAAAATTGTTTTTGATGGACTGGGCCCAAAGGTTGCTGCCTGTATTCAGAGATGCAGTACTGCTTTGCAGCGGAGTTTAATTGGGGTGCTGGTTTTTGCTTTTGAACTTATCGTAATTACGAACAGATATTTTTCTTTTTTTTTAATATGTCCCCTGGTTTCTCCCTTCGAAAGAAAAGCCCATGTTTAATGAACTTAATTTTAGATAAAAGGAATTAAAAGAAGAAAATTAAAAATGCATGAAGGTCCTAGAGTCATCCAATTACTGTGATGTCCATACAGCAATGCCAGCATGGATTTTACAAAGCAAGTAAAAGCAGAAAATCACTGGGGCTCGCCACATGTAAATGCCGCTCTATTCCAAAATGTGCCGAATTAGAAATGTACATTTTATGCATTTTTTCCTCTTGATCTGTTGCAGAAGATAAAGATCAAACATGCCAGCCCGCCCTGAGTAGCATATGTATGCATACCCAGAATGCTTGCTTGCTGTTTTCAAAACCACATCTAGCTCTGTAGTCAAAATATTAGAATACACACAGGCATCAGAAGAGGATGGTCTCTGCATTCACAGTGCAACAAAAGCAGCGGCCAGGCTGGCCAGAGGAAGCGGCACTGCTGAGCGGCTTCCAGTAAAACGGAGGCAAGGCCGATTTGACCATTAAACACTGCCGTGGGTTCCAGATC